ACATGGGCCTGGGGTGGGGGCACTGGGACAGGACTGGCCCTTGATGTTTACAAGTGGGTCCTGGTACAAAAAAGGTTGAGAATCAGTGTCTTAAGAGACTGGACTGGCAAGGCATCAGCTCAGAGGTCATTCTTGCTAAACAACTCGCTGGGATTGTTTTAATAGGTCAAAAGTGATTGTTTTTGGACCACTGTCTGACCTGTGTTGGGAGGACAACGTCACCCTGCTTAGCAGAGACCATCTTGGTTTCCCCAAACACAAATCTTAGATCATTCTACCCATCTTGAACTTGAAACCTTTTCTAAGTCCATTCAAGCTTTCCAACTTCTCTTGCTTACAGTTCTGCAGTCCAATCGTTAACAATTTAACTGCAATGCTTCAAAGTCCACAGGTGCGTACATGTGCATCTGTCTTGGTGGGAGAGGAGGAGATGGTAAATAATTTCTAATGCACCAAATCGTTTTGGGAGAAAAGATAAATGAGATTAGATAGTGGGGAAATATTAAGTAAAGGTCCCTGTAGAAGGTAGGTACTATCTTCTCTTTGATGAGCCGAACCTGCTGAAGATTACACACTGCTAGGGAATATCAGTGCCGTTGTCAGGGATCTGGTGGTCTGATAAGGGCATCAGAACAACTGGCAAATGCACGCACAAACACTGCAGGACAAAAGATCCACCTTAAGCACATGCCAAATGCCTTCCTAAAAACCTGACTTAGAACAAACAACAAGTGTTTCCAAACTGTATTTCTTACTTATTACTGACCCTTCCTGTATTAGAAGGCTCACTATAGAAAAAACTGGCAGCTTTCTATTGAAAAGATTTTCCAGCAGGCCCTAACTTCAAAGGGATTCTGCTCTTTCCTACTGCATCCTCCCTGAGTATTTCACTTCCACATGTCACAGGGCTCTTGCACACATGTGGGGAGCCTGCTCCCATGTGCTGGAAGTCCAGCGCATTGGAGCAGGCTGTTAATCGAGTCTGCTGGAGCACGAAAATCGATGCACATCATGTCACTGTATCAGCGTCGCCACGTCTCTCTGCACTGACAAATGGCAGCAGGGTGCTTCAAAATAAAACATGCCCAATGAGCTTTAGTTCAAAGCGCTCCACTGCCATTTTTTCAGCGCGAGGACGTGAGGCAATGTTGATACATGTGACATGCGGGCACTTTTAATTAGCATAGCTTGCTAATTAAAGTGCCCAGAACTATGTTGGGAGCACATGTAAAAATGCCCATAAGTTTCAAGTTTCTCTCAGTCTCTGTTATTAAAGATTTCTTGGAGATCTTGGTTTCTTTCTGGTTTGTCCTTACTAGTTGGCACTTGTTACTAAAAAATGGTGAGGAAGTCACTGGGGCAATGGCCAAAGGAGTCAGCCAACCTGACTTGTGCAGTTACAGTAAAAAAAAGAAAGCAAACAACATTTTCAGAGGCAGAAGAAACAGGAGGGAAACGTGCCATTGTATAAACCAACAGTGCATCCTCACTGAAAGCACTGCAGTGCTGCTCTCATGGGTCCACAGGAGGAGCCTCCTGTAGATCTATCCAGCCTGCCAGGGAACATGATTTTCTTGCACTCAGCCCAGGGCCTCTACTGTTTGCAAGGAGGAAGCCAATGGCTGCACTACTCCACAACTAGGCTCTGTTATCAGCACCTCTGCTTCCCAGCATACCCCTTCCAGCAAGTCCAAAGAACTTAAACTTGTGTTTGTCACGTAGTTTCCTGGCTTTATAATCATCTATCTGCATAAGATGATGTAGTATGTATGACCTCTTGTCCCAGACACTGAACATGGTGGAAATGTCCCCAACAGTTCACTTAATTTTACAAAATAATACCATAGGGCAATGTTCTCCTGTACCAAGCAGGAGATTGCGCTGTACCATTTAAGAGGAAGGGCATTATAAACTCCCAATGTAGGAACAGGCTTCAGTGAATGGGTTATTCTTTGTAAAAGGGTAAAAACAAACCAGTCTCAATTCTGCAGAGACATCTGAACTCCCACTCCATCCTCAGCTTTGTTGTTAACTCTAGGCCCTGATCTTGATGCTTGTCCTCCTATGTAGATGCTATTGCTTCTAGCTATGGCAGCATAAGAAAGAGCTTATGAATAGTTATGTATAGTATAACTTCATGCATAAAGGAGCAAATCTACCCTGCCTTCTGCCTAATATAAAAAAATGTTATTCTGAGTCAGACCACAGGTCTATCTTAAGGTCCAGCCAGTATCCTATGGTTTACAGGGGCAGAGGATGGATGATAAAAAAGTAGTATTAAATCCATCAAATCACATTTCCAAGGCAGCTGTTGGTAAGTGGTTTTATATGGACTATATATACATTTTGGAAGGTCTTCTATAGCCTATTAATGAACAGAATGACATTTTTACATCATTTTATTAAAAACATGTAAAGTTCTAAAATTAAAATGTACATCTACTACATCATAATCAGTTTGTACACTCACAGGTAAAGTGCTAAAATTAAATGTTACAAAACCGACACTGGACTACTGTAAACAAGTCTAAGAAGAGCTGAGTGCAAGTAAAACCAGCTAATGTTAGGTACGGTATCATGCTAATCACCCTCTACATACAGATCTCACAAACACTAAAGCTTTCCCTCTCCTTCAGAAATGGACAAAATTACAATACATACATGAGCATAACAAAACCATTTGAAGAGATGACAGTGCTGTTCAGTAATTCTTCAGCACATAAGAAACTACAGCAATGCTTTATAGGCAAAAAAAAAATCTGTAAAATATCCTCTCTCAGACTCATGGCTCTTTAGAAAACTTAATTCAGTTGCAGGACAGGGAAATCAGCATCAAGTTTAATCTGACATTCAAGTCCCCATTTCATGGCTCAAACCTCCAGTAACAACGAGTCATCTGCACGTGACTAATCTGTCCAGAATATTCATCCCGCTCTAATGGTCCAATTCTGCAAGTCCTCACGGAAACTTCCAATGAAATCAGCAGACAAGGAAGAGAGAAGCAGCTTGTATGTCTGGGCTTTAAGTTTAGTGCTCATAAAGAGCAACAGCAGTAGAGACTTAAGTCTTCCAGTCAAGTTCTAAAACAGCTCCAGTGCAAGATTTCCTCCCCTCTTCTTTGGATGTACCTATATTTCGGTCACTAATTGCCTGCACACCCGAGCTAGCTAGTTTAAAGTTAGTTTAGATGCTGACAACAGGATTGTTTTGGCAGCATAGGAACTCAGGAATGCTGCAAAACCTACCCGAGCTGCTGGGTAAAAAGGTTTAGAGTCTGCATTGTATTACATTGTTAGTGGTACCTATGCCCGTTAGATGCTAACATCAGGCACATCTACGTGAGCTGCAGCAACCGCAGTTTAGACCAAGCCTTTGACTCAACTGCAAGTTGATGGGACCAGTAATGCAGTCCCCATGCCCCTCCCAGTGTCAGTGAGAGGGCAGAGTTAAGGTGGCAGAGGGCATGATGGTACTTGTCTGCTAGGAACTGGACTGTGACCACTAGCCTGATTTCACATAGGGACATGCAGAATCAGACCTACAGTCACTACCAAGGCAGGAGGCAGCCATGCTAGTAGTCAAGAGATGCTAAACTATCCCGTAGTTTGCTCTGACCATCCATCTCTTAAATACATGCTTTATAAAGTTCATATCTAAAGTTTCTGCAGCAAAATTTACATTTTCAAACTAAAAACTAAGAACATTTACAGTATTTGTGACTGAGCAAACTGCTTCACAGCCAAACTTGTGGCTTTCTTGAAGTTTTCCAATTTTTTATTTTTATTTTTTTTGGGGTGGGGGGGAAGACAGCTTGCGATTCAATAGGAAAAACACAGCCCTGCAGACATGCTGTGTTCCCACACAAAAGGTTTCCATGCAGCATTACTGCAACTTAATGGTGCAAACATTTCATTAAAACCATAGAAGTGGTGGAGAAGCACATCTGTAATAAAGCAACCAAAGGCATAAAGAACATAACCAGCTCTAGGGATTCTAGTGCCACTAGCAATCAGGCAAATACCTGCCTTTGCCACCTTCAGTCAGTCGCACAACTCCAGGGACTGCTGAACAATTCAGTGCCACTTTGCAATGCCCCTGGTCTATCTCTATACAACAGCTGGCCCTGAACAAGCGCATTGGCATCAGGTGTCTGAGGGAAGCATGTTGTGCTATAGGCTGGAGAGAAATCGGGGTGTTCACTCCCTGAGGACAGGATGCTGCCAGTGGAGGAACAGCTCGAGCTCAAGGTGCCCTGCTAACACATGGGGCAAGGGAGTGAAAAGAGTCTTGTGGCTAAAGCATAACCAGGAATCGAAAGACTTGATTCTCTTTTCAGCACCGCTACAACCTTTCTCAAGACCAGAGGCAAGACAACACCCCTGTGCCTCAGCTATCCCAGCTGTAACACTGTGATAACAATCTACTTTCACACTGATTCAGGGAACCTGCTTCTGTGCAGCTTCTGAAGTTGCAAATTTAGGACCTTGTTGGGTTATGCTCCACTTCCATGGAGGCAAAAGCCAGCATTTGACAGTAGGGCTGTAGTATCTCTCTGCCAGACCAGGGCCAAGAGTTATTTGATTGAACTAATGGAGCCCCTGTTCAGACAGCAGCATCGTGGGACAAGAGGAGGTTAGCTGAAGTCTGGGAGAAGGGGTTTGCTCCCACGTTCTCTGCAGGAGGACAGAGCTCAGGGAGAAGAGTGCTTATGCTATGGGGTTGTCTCGGGGGAGCAGCTGTCCCACAAGCTAGGTGGTTGGGCAGCAGGCTGTGACAACCTTACACGGACAAGGTGAAGCTTGCTTACCCATTTGTAAAGGGCTCTGATTATAAAAGAGAAAGGTGCTATAAAATACCATACAGCATAGTAATTCAGTTCTGAAGCTAAGAGGCAGTGGAGCTGTGATTATGGGGAAGAAGCATGGGAGGGGAAGAGAGGCAGCTGCTGAGACCAGTATCTTGCATTTTAAATCACCGCTGCAGTAATGGAGCTTTTACTCTGTGCTCCAGATCTAGAATAATAAGAGTGAGGAACAGGCTAAAAACATCTACATCTGGAACACAGAATGAAGAGCCATCTCAGTCCCCATCCCCACACCAACACAGATAAAGCATTTGCTGTCCCTAAACCATCCCAGGCGCTTGTCCAGCCTCTTCTTGAAAGCCTCCAGTGAAAGAGGTTCCTCTGTGAAGCTGAAGAGTTAAACCCCACAATTAACCCATTTCAAATTAACATGGATGTAAGCACAACCATCCATCCCCACACACAGTATAAAACAAGTCAAAGCCCGGTCGCAATGAGAACAGTATTGCCAAACAATCAATGTAAACACTTTACATTATTTTGTTCCATTATATTAAAATATGGATGATGATCAACTCCCTTAGTAAATCCAAATTCCTATAAATCATCATCCCTTTGCTGAAGCAAGAAGAAAGTTGCAAAGTTTAAGCTAAAATAAGCTTAAACAACCTCATATTTTGTCATCATTGTTGATGTGGAATTGTAACATGTCCAACAAAAGCCACTTGACAAACTTTGCATACTCCCTGTGCTCTGAAAAAGAAGGTAGAGAATAATCAGACTATTAGCACTGTATACTATCATTGTGGCAGCTTGCTACACACAAAGCTGAGCCATTAACTTCCATCCTTAATAGTAGGATTGACATAGAGAGGAGAGCAGAGTGGCTTCTAAAGCTTTTTATTTGAAGTTGGTTTTGGTTCATGCTTCTCCTTTGGAGCAAAGCCTGGTCTGACTAGGAAAAACAATTTACAGTAACTCTGCTATTAAAGGCAAGGTGACTCCCAGAGTAACCTTTGATTTCAAAGATTAGCACAGCTAAGTGATTTGCTGTAGTGTCACTGGGGCACAATTAAAATGAATCATGTTTGCAAGGCCCAGCTCTTGTTGCTCTCAAAAGCCTCTGAAGTACAGATACTGAGTTGTTGCCTTATTTTTGCCCCTGAGCTATACCATCCAAGCATTACAAAGGCTTTTCAACATGCCTGAAACAGGTCAACCAAGGGAATGTATGTGAGGACAATGAAAAAGTAAGTGTACGTTTCCCAGCAATGTTCTCCAGTAATTAATGAGGTAGGTTCAAATGTAACCAGTGTTTCCTCATAGTGAGCAATACTTGAAACTTATAACATAGCTGCTCCAGAAGATCTACTGTACCATATTAAATATGATTGGACTCCGCCTGCAATGTTGACAAGGACATGATATATCCTAAAGGCAAAATGAGAGCAAAATTATTCACAAAAAATATTGAAATCCCCCCCCCCCACGTTTCTGTTCTCTGAACCTATTCTGGAATGGAAGAACCTACAGTAAGAACTAATCCTCTATGCAGTGCACACTCCACCTAACTAGGTGGGTTTTAGCCTGACACTTTGCTTAGTCCCAAAACAGCACAGTGGTAGTAAGCTCCTGACAATGCATCCCCCCTCTCTGCCTACATAGGTGAAGTTGGGCTGATACATCTGTGCACTCATGGATCCCTGAGGGATCACAATATCTCCTCTCAGGTTAAGGGAAAAATCCAGGTTCCCCCACTACCTATATTTTATAGGTCAGAAATAGGCAAAGCTCAACTGCAATGTTCATATGTTAATATCGAACCACTCATTTTTAAATTAACTGGGTTAACTGGTTCAAAGTGACCTTTCCACCTCTTCCCACAGAAATTGTAAACAAGTACAATATTTAAAAAGCATTTTGTAAAAAATAAAAAAGCAAGGACAGTACACGTTATACAAAAAAAACACCCTTTCACTGCCCTATCCCAATTTTTCAGCCTGAACAACTGTAAGAACTCATGATCTTCAATGGAGTTTTCATTCTTCCTCCAGAATGCTCATTCTTTTGTTGCATTTCCAGTGTACTTGTTTAAAAAAATGTCTACTGATCTCTCACAGATGTCCTTTGTACAGTATTTAAGATGCAGCCTGCCCTCTGTGCTTAATAAAAACACTACCAGTTTATTAACTAAATCAAAGACAAAAAGGTCACTTAGAAGAACCCCTTCAATATTCAAGAGTTTCTTTCTGCTTCCTGGAACTCTTAACATGACCTCACCAATTGGATCTTTAAGGGTAATATTTATTGAAACAAAGACAAACTACTTGGGTGGGTTTCCAAATGACAAATTCAACTGTGGTGCATGACAGGAAAATAACCATTATCAAATAAATAATTATCTACTTGTAGGTTCATTTGGAAGCTACAACCAACTCTTATACTTTTGTTATTCTCTAGATTGCAGATCAAACATTCCAACTTTGATGTAAGCATGAGAACAGCTGGCTCTGAAAAAGAGAAACCAACTTTTCAGCTTCCTGATGCGTGAAATCAGCACCTGATGAGAGGCATGATAATACTGAGCATTATCATATTACTGAGAAAGGGGCTCCAAGATACACTATCGTATATGCTCATCGTTTTTGTTGAACGCATATCAAGCACTGGTTCCATCCTCTTCGATAACCCGGTTCATGCTTGTACCATGTGTGATGTGTGTCATGGGGTTGCTGCTGAGATCCCTGATGCTGCTGTGACGCGACTGTTCGTTAAGCCGGTGAGAACTGCTATGCCTGGAGTGATCAGTCAGTCGTGACATACTGCCGTGAGGTAGTCGGTCTTCCACGCCTCTGTAGCTGCAGGGGGTATACCTAATTTATAGACACAATGTCAAGTTCTTCATTACCATGGGCAAAAATGTGAAAAATGTGGGGGAGGGAACTTGCCATATATAACATTGCATTTTTATGAAAAAAACTAAACTTCTTTTCCTGGCTGTAACTGACCTGCCATGACCTTAGTCAAGCTGCTTCATTCCTTTTGCCTGAGTTTTTCCATCTAGAAAACAGGGATAACAATAGTATAGATAGCAGCATATGCTATATCCGCCCTCCTGTCTGCCGTTATGAGTAAACCAATGTGTGGAGAAGACCCAAGGCAAGAACTACCACTACAATAAAAACCTGAAGAAACTCAGCATGTCAGAAACCAGATAAAACAGACAGGTTTGATTTTATCTCAGCTAAAAGGGCAAGCATCTTTTTAGGGTAGTGGGGAAAGAGGTGGTTGGCTTTTTAATACTGACCCTGTTATGAATCTAATGAATGACCGCAGGAAATTGTCAGGCGATTGTTTTTCAATATGTACGTATCCTATAGTAAATAGTTGCTAAAATGACAAATGTCATACTCTTTAGCTATACTTCAAGCTACAGTGTGTATTTGTTTCATTTCAAAGGAGTTATGACAGTTTACACCAGGTGAACATTTGGTATTTGGTTATTCACACACACACACACACACAAAACTGTACAGAGCAGCCCCATTCAAATGTTAGACTCAGTTTGGAATAGGTTGCTTCCCACATGCTAGCTGCTACACACATAACCTGTTGCATCTCTGTAGAAAGTCATCATCTGCATTCATGCTCGGTAGCTAATTTATTCAGTGGCACTGATATCACTTCCTTGGAGTCCACGGTACATTACTGCATTACAAGCCAGATGCTAAAATTCTTTAAGGACCCAGTAGGACAGGGAGACTGATTCAGAAAGGTGAATATTGACAGAGGTTTGGCTTCTAACATGTTGGTGGCCTAAGATCTGTCAATGCAAACCTGTAAGTAATGAGCACGTTGTCCCCTGTGTGTGGGTCAATCGACTCCATTTCCATTAAGCTTCTAAAAACTGTGAAGGAAACTCACCTGCCATCACGTGACCTATGCAGGCTGCCATGATAACTGCTCACTTTGCTGTGGACGCTGCCTGCTTTGCTCCTTTGGTCATCCATCATCGCCAGCTGAGTAGATGAGGCATGTGTGGAGGTCCCCTGGGTGGAGGTCCCTCTCGACTTTCGGATGATGGGAGTATTAGGATCCCTCAGGAGCGACTGGGCGAAATCGGGCTCTTGCAGCACCTGACGACTCTCATTTACTGTTCTGGTCCAATCATACAAGCAGAATAATTAACATTACTACAGCAACATCAAAGGTTTAAAAGCAAATTGCAAGAGCCCTTACTAACTGGCTTATTCTATAAACATGCTGCTTTAATACATAGCAGCAAAGATGGTACAACCTGGGCACACACATTGCCTAAACAGGACTCATAGTTGCCCAATTTTAAGTATATAATATGAACATTTTGGCCAATGCTCTTACTCTTACAGTAAGACCTGTCATTGTTTTTCTAACTCAGGCATGTAAAGCATATGGCAGTGTAATAGCAATGTAACTAAAAGTTCAACCCATTACCTCACAAAATCCATAGGATATGAGAAGCTGCCGGCATACAAAAAAAAGTAGACAATATATTTTTTTAATGTATGCTTTTGCTTTCATCTCTGACAGTTTTGGAGATATTGCAGTGGACCAATATGCTCATATCACCTTCAAAAAGTACCTCATCAGCACAGAAGAAAAAGCAGATCCTTTTCCCAAATGGTCATTTTTAAATCTAGCTTGTGTTAAGTCAAGAAAAACAGTGCGCTGGGTGGAGTACAACCATACAGAAGCAATCACATTTTGCCTTTGGCCTTTAGCTAGTAGTTGCAGTTCCCAGCCTGTGCATTTGCTAGACCACCCACCTTTTTTGATGGACTGAAGAAAAGGAACACGCTTAGTACTTGCTCTGCTCAGAAGAACATTTCCTCTGTGTAAATTTGATTTTTTAAAATCTTCCTCTGGTGGTCATCAGTCATCACCTTCCATGCCCCCTGCTCATCAAACGTCCACTGTCTGTGGAGTAGGATGCCCACTGAAAGCTCTTTGAAGACAGACCCAGCTCTGCCTCTCATTGCTGATCTGGCCGCCACAGCAGAAGAGTTCTGCTTGAGCCAGCAGGCTACTCTGCATGTGGTCTGCTTTACCGCCCTACTGCATTAAAACTAGGACAGGTACATGGCAGGACTCCCAGCACTTTACCCACAATTTAAGTCAGTGATTTTCAATCAATCAGGGTGCCACAGTTCCAGGGGTGCCATGAGATCCTTTTACAGACCCTGCCAGGTGACACTCAATATTAGTGTTGTTCGGTGTGCAAACACCTGCAAGATTCACAACAAACCCAAGGATTTCAAATAGGAATCAATGATGTCAAAAACATTCTGACCTGTTATGGCTTCTTTGAGTTCTCTGAAACAGAGGAATTGCTTTATTATTTTCTGTGACCAAGAAATGAGTGACAGCTAAGAGCTGACATTTTCTGAAGGTGGTCTTGAGTCTGACATGTTTGAGACCCACTGATTTAAGTGAACAAGTATGTTCATGGTAAGGCAATGGGATGTTATGAAACTTCCTTCGTCTCCATTGTGCTAAACTTCTGTCCTGTGTCATAGTGTCCAAACTAGCCTATCACCTCTAGGCAGCCTGTGCTAGTCACATCTAGGCTAGCAATTCCTCAGTAAATCCAGGTGTGAAAACTGATATTGTAGAATATGTGGCACAGCTATTCAGCAATAGATACTGTCCTCAAGTCACACACTATCATAATCTAAAACAACTGTAGAAAGCCCTAAGACAAGTTGCACAGTAATTTTAATCAAACTGCACTTTGAAAGTAGATTCCAGTGGTCAAGAGAAGGATTAAAATCTCAAACTGCTGCAGAAGCTTGATGAATAAATCTTTGTTTCATATTACAATATATCTGAGGCAGTTTTTGTAGGTGATATACATCAGCTGTCCAGCTGAGGAAATTGTGTCTTTGAAGAAAGAAGCTACTCTATTCCAGCCCTCCACTACAGATAAAAAGTTTGTAGGACCATGCCCAATCTCATTTCTTTTGAGAACAAGGAAGCAGATAATGGATGAAACACATTACTTGATTCTGTTGCCAGGAAAACAAATCTCGGACAAATACATGACAGGGCTTTTGTTTGCTTTTAAAACGTATTGAGCAGTGCAACATTTCTGTATAAGTTTTCTTCTGTACCTGTCCTTACTTCCATGAAGAAAATCCTTAGTAGTATTAACCCAAAGTGCTTCTCAGGATTACAGGCAAGGAAGTTTATCTGCCAATATTTCATGGATTCAGCTGCCATATATCAACTCACTCTTTTTTCCTGCGTCCATGGAAAAAGCTGGCCCATTCAAAACAGGTCTTCTTGCTTCCAACCCAGAAAACTGAAGGTATCCCAACCACTAGAGCCATCAGATACTTCATCAGAAAGAGAATGAGGTCAGGGCGACTCATCTGAGTGACCTAGAGAGGAGAAAATAGACACGACCATTATGCAAACCATCATAGTGCATTACTGCATGTGTTAATTCATTTAAAATAACCGTTTCAGCCTTAAGCCAAAGTAAACACTCATGGGGATCCTTTGTTTTAGAGCTCTAGGGAGCATGACAGAATCTGTTGTTGGGGCTAGTGTTGTGCAGAACAAAAGATTTGACTGCTCTGAAGTCTCCGCCTTTATTTGCATTGCTGCTCTTTTGTTTAGTGTAAGCCGAATAATTCTGAAATATTTTTTCTAGTTTACAAACTGGAAGGGCTCCATTTTAAACAGAAATGAATTATACAGAGCTGGGAGCTCTTTCTGTACAAAAAATAAATCAAGAAAAAGAAACCTCCACACCTTGGAACGAACAACACCAATCTGTCTCCCTTATCATTCCAGAGTGGAGTCGCATTCTTGTTTCCCATCCCTTATCAGCAGGGTGCTATTGTATAACTCTTTGCAAACTCCCTAGCGGATTACTAATGAAGAAGCCATCGCATTTTATACAGAAGTCCTTAACCCCAAGTGAACAATGCGCACATTAATTTGACAAAGATAATGATCAGTACATTCTGGGAACATCTTGTGTAACTGAGAGAAAGGGCTAATTCAAAGAGACACGGTTTCTAAGAAAACTCATGGCATGGTTTTTAAAGAAAAAAAGTTAGCATCGTAACACAAACATTATATTTCAAGCTGCATCCCCATGGCAAGCTGGTTGCTTAGCCCGGTGGCTTCCATAGGGGAATTTGTTCCCTGAGGAGCTCCCCGGCCAGTCCTCTAAAGCAAAGTCAAGGCTTTGATTAATAAATAAAAAATCCCTCCACCCTGTCCCAGACACTAGGAAGGGAGCCAATCCTGCTTTGGCCCCAGCACAGCAGCCAGCTGTTCCTCTTGCAGCTTGCTTCTTCCTCCTCTTCATTACTTTCCTGGGAGCTTTGCTCCCAATACGATACTTCTTGCTTATCCAAATGCCCCACAGCTAGGCTCTCAACAGGGTTGACTATTCCTCTGTAAAACAGACAGACCACCATATAAAGAGACCTAATCAATAAGGATATGTAACTGCCTGAAACAGCCCACCAGCCTCTTAGAAATTGGGATTACCAACTGATTTGTATGAGTACAAGGTAGGCTACTTGAACCCCTATAAGTGTTCACATTATATTCTCACTTATACCATGGTATGTCTGCACTGCAGTGGTGGTATGCTCTGGAAGGGCCATTTCCAAGGATGCCCTGCCCCATGACATACTCTAAACCCAGAAGCAGGCCTGTGAAGATGCTTGGGACATCCTTCTACAGCCTCTCAAGATTTCAGTCTCCAGTGAGTTGAGCAGCCCCTAGGAATAACCCCAGAGCATCTTCACAGGTCTACTTTTGGGTTTGGACCATGCAGGTGGGTGCTGGTAGCTGGGACACACTTCCAAATGGTCTAGCAGGCTATGTGGTCATGATGCTGTAGACGAGCCCTGAGTCTCAGATGTCCATGATCATCAGCAAGTTACTTCCCATCTCATGATTTCTACCTACCAGTCAAGCTTTAACAAAAGCCTTCAGTAGCAATATTATCTACCATTAAATGATGTTGAAAATGAGGAGCAAAATTAGTCAGCTGTACAACTGTATCTTAAAAACATCAAAACTCACCATTTTCTAGCACTGAAAATAGAGTGAGATCAGAAGCAGATCAAATGATCTTTTTTGAATGTAACGTGCAGACAGCGGTAAGCAGGAAGTTCATTTCATGAGGATGTAGCAAGTCCTTGTTCCTTGATTAGAGGTAAGTGATTGTGTCCATTATTTGATGGCTAGTTTGGTTGAAGTTCATAGCCTGCAGAGTCAGTCTGGAGTGTTGTGGTCTCACAAATGATAGTGCAGAGGAAGGCATGCATGTTGTCAAATACCCACTCCATACAGAACACTTCAAAGCAAGTAATGCGGCTTGCTGTAGCACTGGACACATGTAAATAAGTTGTCCTGGGGTTGCCCATTGGCATGTGCCAAGCACTGCTCTCAAGAGGCTACGTTACATCTATTTTGGGGTGTAACCTATGCAGAGTGGGCATGTTCTACCTCCCTGCAGTGCTCCCTAGCATAGTCTTCTGCTCACTGCTAATCAGCTATTAACTGTCAAGAACCAAAGGGAAAGGGTAGAACTGACCTGGGCAAAGGGTTTATGAAACCAAGTAGCCAATGACCAAGAGAGCCTGTGAATACAGCAGTAAGCATCTAAATCCCCACTTCCGCCTCTTTTTAAGATATAGCAATGAAGTGACTAAGACAGCAGTGGAGGATACACAAAGAGTTGGATTCAGATGACTAGATGTAGAAGCAAAACAATGGAGTGGTGACCTAATAGAAACTATTTATTCAAGCAGGGTATAAAGAGAGGTTGCGTTTCTCCCAAGAGAAAGCCTGTTGTCCTGGAATCTACAGAGTCCATTGAATCACTTTAAGTACCTGTGAAGTATGTGAGCTAAAACCTGCAAGCTCTTTTTCCCAGGACAATGCCATATAAATCTGTTAAACTAATCCAGTCAGTCTTAATCAGGGTACTGAGGCACCCTGAGGTCTTTTGAAGGGTGCCATGAAATCCACACTGGCAGATCAGGGCAGGGAGCTGGGACCTGCCCCTCCCCTGCAGCTCTTTCCAAATCCCCAGCCCCTGATCAGGGCCAGGAGCTCCCTGCTGCTGACGCATGAGGACATTGTCTCTGCCCCAGCAGCAGGCAGCCCCCTGGAGCCAGGAGATAGCTGTCTCCTGGCCCCGTGCTCCCTGCCAGCCCCTGGGCGGCAGGGGCCCATTTCAGGGCTGCAGGAAACTTGGTGCAAAGAGCAGCAAATCTGCTCCCTAAACCCCACATGTGTAGATGCTTGCCCGAAAGCACTTACTCCAAAGTAGCTTACACCAGAGTAAATTTAGGCTGGATCAAATAAATGCACATGTAGACATGCCCACTGTGGAGTTTCTCCAACTCTCTGGTGCCACTCCGAATTTGACAGATTTATAATTAATTTGCCAGCTCTTTCAGAATTTGGGGTTGACAATCATCCTTATCCTGCTGGCTAGGATCCAAACATTTTTTTTTTATTTTCACCTTGGCTGTGGCAGTTTCTGTTTCCATAACCTCTTTCCCTTGAGCCATCCTGTCTTTGCTCCCATGATCAACATCACTGTTCTTATTGAAAAGTGAGGCGAAGAGCTCATTTCAGCTTTCACATGCTCAGTTTTCATCAAGCAGTGGTGTTGCTGGTTGTTGCTTCCAACTTTGATGTGCTGCAGAGCATTTCTCATGGTCAACCTCTCTTCCTTTTGCTTTGGGACTGCAAAAACAGAACTTGCCTGGGGAACTTTGGAATAAAGCCAAGCTAAGTCCACCTTCTTCCCTGAAATTTCAGCATAGATTTGCATTATTTACTACACAGTCAGGCAAGTGCGTTGTCCATCTGCTCCACTTTTACTGTGCAGTAAAGTCAACTCACTGTGTAGCAAATTTGTCATGAGGACACACGCTTGTTTTCACCATGCTCATTTGTAGGGGCATAACAATGAATGACTGTCATCTTCATCTATCCCATCTGGAATTTCAGACATTGTTCTCTTATTAACTGCTTCCCTGTCTATGATGGCACACTGTGCAGTGTCCATCATGATCAGAGCACTTCTTTCTCTTCTTGCTGCAAGGTTTCCAGTTTGATGCAAATCTGCTCCTGTCCATCTACACTCATTTAGGCTGAGAGTCTCTCTCATAAATTAAACAAAATTTTCCCAATATGCAGCAAATGTACATGATTTTAGAATGCAGGTACAAAACCTGGAATGAACCTGGTCCAGAAGACTCTTCAAGACACCAGCTTCACGTCAAGGCTAGGTTTGATTGGCATCTGTCATATGGTTCACATGTGCCCTGCTCAATGATCCAAGGATCAGAGACTTCAGTTGACAAAATCCTTAGTGGTTTCATGACAAGAATATCTTAACAGAGATAGGAAAAAGATAATGACATCATGTAAGGCATCGGTACCACCTCTTCAGGAATGCTATGTACAGAATCCTTCCATGTTCAAGACACTAATTCAAACTGGAACAGATGCAGAGGGGGTGTATTAGAATAATATGGAGAATGGAAAATGCATATGAAAAAAAAGAATCCAGATTGTTAGCCTGGCAAAACAAATGTTGAAAGGGGAGATTATTGTGCTCTCCAATTCAGGGGAGGAAAGGCTAAACACACTAGCAGGGGAGAAGAGCTATTTAAGCATAAGGATAATATTGACAAAAAACACAAATGACAGGAGCACGACCAGGACTTAAGTGGTTGGGGCTTGACCCTAGGAGGTCACAGTCCAGAAGCCCAGGAATAGACAGGGTCAGGGAAGCAAGGGTCCAGATTAGAGCTGGGAGTCAGGAGACTGAGGTCTATGAAAGGGGCCATGACGTAGACTGTTCTGGACAGAACCGCAGGCCAAGGGGGTTCAGGCATGGTGGGGGGCTGCGCAGGAATCCAGACCTGTATTACTAGTCAAGAAGTCTGGACCAGGCCACTACAGCTGTATGAGATGACGAGGTGGGTGACTGCCTAGCTAAGCCACAATTCTGCCTGGCAGAAGACAGGGGTCTAGAAGCACAAACAGGCCAAGTTGGAGTCTGGAACCAGAAACAGGTAACCAGAACCCAGGATGAAGCAGGACCCAGAGCATAAGGAATCAGGAACTGTCATGGTGCAGGGTCCTAGGAACGGCCGTGATCTCTCCAAACACCCCCTACCGTGCCAAGTCCAAGATAAAGCACCCTCATTCTCGCCCGCCACGTCTTTGATGTTAGGTATTTTATAAGGGAGGCTGCCTTTTTGTCCCCTTGGACACGGTGCTCTGGTTTATCCTGGCCTCTGTTCTGTATTGACTGACTTGGTGCACCCCAGCCTTATGGGCTATGCGTGGCTCCAACCACCCCTGTACCATGCCCCAAGCCTTGCAG